CTCACTGACTTGTGTGCTTCGGTTACTTTGAGACTGTTGTGTTTTGGGCACTTTAGGGGACTGTTCAGACCCTGGGGGCTGTAGATGTCGGGTGTGCTTTAGTCTGGCTCGGCCTGACCGGGAGTCATCTCGTTTAACACCACCTTCTGTCTCCTCCCTCCTCCCTCCCCAAACCAACTTGTCTCTCCAGAAACAAATGATGATCTTCTGCTGCTGCGTGATTTTGGCTGTCATCCTCGGTTCATTTGTCTACAGCTTCATCAAATAGAGACCCTAATGAAGAAAGTCTCCCACCATCTGAGGCCACGGGAGGCCGCAGGACACGTCTGCACTCAGTTTGCTCTAATTTCATTACATATCAGGAACAAAGCGCCACATTTATGATCAGTTCAGTCAGAAAAACATGACGACAGCTTTCTTCTTCATGGTCTCGCTCCAGTCTGAGTTCCTAACCTGTCCAATAACACACTGGATATGACTGTGTGCACAAAACAGAAAAGAGATGCTGGAGACCTTTCAGTGCAGTGACACGTCAATAATCCCACCAAGAATGTCCAGATTATATTATTGCATCAGCTCATTGTTACTTAGCTGTGCTCAGAGAAGTGCACATGTGTGTGACACGTCTTACCCTAACCCTGCTGCAGTTGTTCTGCTGTGGAGCGATTTTTCAGAACCACACTTGGAATTTGAAAATGTGCAGTATGAAAGGTCACCACCAATCAGGGCCGAGCCCTGTGAATTACTGAGTGTGGCTGCTAGCATGCTCCATTTCATTCACTGATTTGTCCACTTATCAGATCCATATTCAGGAAAGTGCACCTGATTAGTAAACAACTTTTGAATAATGCAGCCATGAAAAGCTTTTATTAGGAAGATTAGCTGTTGTGTTGCTGTGTAAGGAATAAACAGCAGAGCGTGTCCATTAATATTAGAGTGAAGTGAGTACAGCAGGTGCAGGTACCTGACACACCTGTGCTGCATCCTGCCCCGTGTCCACAGCAGGCCTGTCAGAGGCCTTTAGGATTCACAGTAAAAATCCACGTAGTGAGCTTTTAACCTTGAAGTGATTAAAAATGGCTGATCTTAGATGGTGTGACTCAGGAATTGATGTTTGTTTTAAATGTGTAAGATTAGAAATACACATCATTTGATGATTCAGGTATTTGGTTTAGATCTTTGTTGTTTGTGTGTTTATTACGACTGAACTCTCATATTTGTACAATGTGCTTGTGTGTGTGGACCGTTTATGCTTGTTATTCTGGCACTTGCTCTGACTCACACTGTGGTGTTGGATGCAGTGCAGCCCACTCGTGAACTGAGAGCCTGCTCTCTTATATCAATATTTTTGAAAATGTGTATTCCAATAAAATTCCAATTGGAGGTTTTCTGAGGCATCTAAACAAACTGATGGCAGACTCTTTAGTTGCGCAGTGTTCAGAAAAATAACCTGGAAGATTCGTCATGTCGTCGATAGTCGACAGGCAGCTGTTGTGTGACAATGAACTATCGCAGATTTTATTCATCTTCAAATTTGATCCTAGGACCGCTAAATATCAAATCCCGGGGATTGAGGTGTGCATTCACACGCTGTAAGGTCTGCCGATGCTTCCAGCGCTTCATCGTTAGCTTCTTTGTACACGCTGCGTGTTTGTGTCTGCTGCTGACTGAAGGCCGTGGCTCTGAGCGCGGCGAACTATTTGTAAAAGTGCATCGTTTGTAGTTTTCTTCACTTTTTGAATAAAAATCAATCTGTCAGTTACTACACTTCCATTTTATTTCACCTTAGCGTTTGCCGACGTTTTCCTCTCGCTCGCCGTACTCAAGCGGTACGCGTTTGACAAACAGTCCCTGCCACCAATCACGAGCGCTACGCAACATTCTCCAGCCAATCAACAATAAGCTGTTCAAAGTGCACTTCCATTTATGGGGCTGCGGGCACTTCCTTGTTGGGTTGAAGGCTACAAAACGTGTCCGTCCGCCGTGTGCCTCTGAGAGAAGAAAACAGGCCACAGAGGGCGTAATACGTCTCCGGTTACGGCAGGCGTTTGTAGGTGGACGGATCTCCGCTGCGATGGGGGTAGGCATTTAAAACGCATTGTTTTCGTGTAATCGTGTTATTTGAAATTAATGACTAGTTGTATTGAGTGATAGGCGGTGGTTATTGTGATAACTGTTAGCGCGATAACTGTTAGCGGGATTGGCTAGTTCTTTTGACTGATTACGCATTTGTCCACTAGTCGACCTGTTTTGACTGTATCAACCAATTAGATGTGAGTTTGTTTCGGAAGTGTGCTGTTATTGGTTGCTTCCCAATTTCTTTATATGTTGATTGGCTGGCCCTATCCAATCAGAAATTACAGCTCTTTCGCGTGAGTGGCACAGCTGTAGTCCAATGAAAGGGTCGTGGGCATGAGTGTGAATGGTCCAGTGTCCGTTTGTGGGCGGGGTTTAGTGAAAATGGCGGCTGTTCGGAGAAGGAACTAACTTTATTACCATGCTATGACTAAAGCAAGTAATAGTGCCAGCTTCTTGTTGTTTTTTAAAATGTTGATAACCGTTTCGGAGTCATGTCTCTGTAGGGTAGTGACAGGGCAGCTACATGAGCTAGAGAGGAGTGTGGCTGTTAAAAACAGATAAAGAAGCTCGAACATTAAACGGTCCTGTCGGATTTTCTAAAAGCCAGCGAGTCCGGCTCTGTATCCGACTAAACTGTAAGAAGTCGGTGAATTAGAGGTAGGCAGAGAGCCCTGCCAGGACAGCCCAGTGACGGCTCCTGTGGGACCATCACTGCCCACTGGTGTCTGTAGTGGCACTCAGGACGCGCTTTTGGTCCCATGAATGAAAATGGATGATCTCAAACCGCGCTACAGCAAAAGACTGGTGAGTGTGGGGCAGGTCCCAACACGCTGGTTCTGCTGCCTCAGCATGAGCCCTGTTTTCTGTTACAGCGGGAGACCACTGCGGGATGCAGGGACAGAGCAGTCTCAACGCTCGGTGTCTGCTTCAGTCAAATCACTGCAACTTTATCTCTTCAGGTTCACGTGCGTCTGGTGCAGTACCATATCTCACAAAGCTGCATCAGAGTCCCGGGTCTGTGAGGGGGGAGCACAGAGGGTGGTATTGTTGGGAGATCTGCTGTAGAGCAGGGGTGTCGAACTGAAGAGAGCTGTGGCCAACTGCCTCTTAAGTAACTGGATCCTTTCATTGATCTAAACACGTTGGTCCTCTCTCTGGCCAACACTTCTGCTATCAGGCAGGTGTGGAGATAACCAGCACTTTGCTTTCATGTCCAGATTTTTTCTTCTGTTTTTGAGTAAACACACCTGCTGCTTGCAGTTTTGTGTACCTGCAGAATTACTGTTCATGTTAGAAGTGTTTTGAAATCGTAGGCAAATTCATCTACAGGAACTTTATTTACTATGAAAATGCAGCTAATGAGGACGTAACTGAGGGAAACTATGTAGTTAACCTTTTACTACGTGTACATTATACAAAGGAAAATGCTGAATGACTTATAATGACCAACAGCCCAAAGTACTAATGACTCTGTGCCTGAGGCATCAGTTAATGAAGAGTGTGTGTGTTAGTATGAGGGGTTAGGATAAGATGGCACCCAGCGCCTTTCCCATCATTCTCAACTCCAGAATACTCCACAGTAGTCCTGTTTCTTTTCTTTAAAAGGGCCTAATAAGGTGAAAGATGTGATGGACGCACGTTTCACACGCGGGTTCAGTGCACGTGTGTTATCAGTATCTGTTTGACATCATCATAATGATGCAGGGCCAGGATAAATGTTGCAGCCAGCCAATGACGTCGCCTGAGCTTTCAGTTTATAAAAGAAGTCAGCAGGTGTTTAAAAAGAGTAACACTAGCAAATCAACATGAGTGACATAAGTTGGCTGTTTAATTTCTGTTGATAACATGTTTATTAACACTTGGAGCTCGTGGTCTGCTCCAGAAGACTCTGATATAAACAGCTGTGACATCACAACTGGGGCAGGGCAATGTGGCCAAAAATACTTATCACCATATATATTTGAACTTTTGTGATAACGATATAACTGACACGAGACAAAATACTTTACATCCCAACTTTATTAGTGCAAAAATTTCACTTAAACAAGCAGCTGTTTTTTATGCACATTAAAGTTGTATAAAAATGTAACAGTGCAAATGTAAATCCCTCGCTGACAGTTTAACCAATCTGTCAGCAGGACAATCCATCAAGTGCTGCGGCTTCATAGTTTAGCAAAGTCGTACTTTGATAGATTCTTGAGCGCCGTGTACCACATGAAATCAGTTCGGTAATAACGACGTCCCGCTAGCATGCTCTACCAAAAATAGTGCTTTGTTGTGTATCTGACGGACGAAAGCTGAACCAGTTCCACACCAGTGAAGCTGCAGCATTTTTACAAACCAGTTCAGATTCATCGTTTCATTCAACGATCCGCTTTCTCTCTTCTTATTCTGCGTCGCCGCCATGTGCGTATGTAAACAAAGGCACTGTGCCTGCGCGTTTTACCCATATTCTATCGCCATGTTTCATTTTCCTATTATTGCCCAACATGACACCGGTGTTACCGTGAACGGTCTGATATGGCCCAGCCCTACTCACAACAGTGTGATGGTCAGTTGCAGTCTCGATCCTGGACTAACATGATGATGATGATGATCACACATGCCTCTTCCTCCCTCTGCTGGAGTTCACATCTGTGCACGTGAATCTGAATAAGTTGTGCTTGTCTCCGTGTGTCGGCCCCGTGGTGCGCTGGTGTCCTCTCGGTGTCTGCTGTGGGAGGCTGCAGCCTCGGGCCCAACGTTGGATCGTTTTGAGGACAATGAATCTATTAAAGTGCTGATGTTATAGTTCCCAGTGCTTCACGATGAAGCCGTTTTCATCTTCTTGGTCAAAAAGAATTGAGGTGGGCCCTAACGTGGACCGCCACTCAAGCCCATTTCATTTATACCCATTCAGTGCTCAGTAGCTGCTCTGTCAGGCCTGCGATACGACTGGGGGTCCCTGTGAGGGAACACTTGGCAGTGCTGGGAAGGTTCCCCCACAGAACCGAATCCTCACGAACCATAAGTAGAGTTTTCAGATATTTGACACGAGGCTGTAGAGACGGTTACTTATGATCCTTTCAGCTGCCACTCTGTGAAGTGGACTTTCATAAGGACTGTCCAGTTTGGGTTAATGTCCATCCAAAGGACTGCAGTCTCTGTCTGTTACCATCCCTCTTACTCTGTTCTCCTCTCTAGCGTGCTCGTAACCAGCAGCGTTACCATGACGATGGCATCTCGGATGAGGAGATTGATGGGAGGAGGATGTTTGACCTGGAGGAGAAGGTGAACAGTGAGAGGTTCAGCTCTGACAGAGTGCTTCGCATGGATGGGAAAGGTTGGTGTGAACACCGTCTCCATCCGTCTCCATCGTCCTCTCCCAAAGGGAGGGAGTATGTCCTGGGTTCTGTCCGTCCAGCACCCACATCACCATATTACATTCACCGTTCGTGTGACAGTAGACGTCAGCTGATTTAACTGTCAGCTGATTTAACTGTCAGCTGATTTAACTGTCAGCTGATTTAACTGGGTCAAGGTCGTATCAAATGGTAAAAGCGCTACAGATGATACTACCCGTAATTTCTGCCTGTAGCAGCTCACACTAGGGGACCCCTGCAGCTTCCCTGAGGCCTCATTACTGCGGTCGTCAGAAACCATCCTGTCTGCAGAGTCTTTGCACTGTTAGCAGGTGCGTCGTTCGGCTCGTCCACATACAGCGTTGCAGATCGGCTCGATACTCGTAATATAAACGAGGCCACTCCCCTTGTCAAATCAAACCAAATGACTTTTATTGTTGTGTGTGTGTGTGTGTGTGTGTGTGTCTGTGTGTGTGTGTGAGATGGCTGGACGTGTACAGAGACACTGCACTCACAGATATAGTGTCTTTGTGTTTCTTATATGGGGTTCAAGCTTTGAGTCTTTATTTTTCAGAGCCTGACGCTTTTTTCTTTGCTTCTTAAAATCTTCTAGCGAGGGAACATTTAAATGAGAAAATGTGTCTCATAAAGCAGCAGTCATCGCTGCACTGAGGTGGTGTCACAGAGAGAGATGGTGCTTGAAGAGTGAGATACGCCAGTTTATTAGGAATGCCACACAGAGATGTGCTTTCAGGACCCTGGACAGTGCACGTGGTGTTCACTGTGATCTGTGAGCTCATACATGTGACTCTGACATCACCTCCCCATGAAATCTGCAAATCCCAAGAAACTTACCACAGCAGCACAGAGCGTAGAAATGAACTGGTGTCAACCAGGCGTTTGTGGAGGTTTGATCTGGTGACAGGATGGAAGAAACAACAACAGTGTCCTAATTATCCACAGGACAGAACTTGTTGTCCTGTGGATTATAGTCCTGTATTGAATGACGCTTGTGTGTTTCTCTGCAGACTTTACATACGCGTTCATTCAGAGAGGTGGTCTGAGGGACCCCGTCGTTTTTGAGAAGCCTGATGGACTGGGAATCAAGTAGGCCCTGTGTGACTTCAGTGTTATTAAACACGTCAGCGTCTATAAATGAGCTGATGTAATGATGTTGTCCTCTGGTTCTGCAGGATGCCCGATCCTGACTTCAGTGTCAACGACGTCAAGATGTTTGTGGGTAAGGCTCGTC